CGGAGTTAAGAAAAGAAGCTTTGAATCTGATTTGGCTTTTGGAATTAGCGAATAGCAGGTAAAACTGGAACTGTTGGTGGATTCTGGGGTTGATTTTGTGGTGGATTCTGAGCTAGATTTGGAGATGGATTCTGGGGTGGACTTCCTCCTTGGTCGTGACATGGCGTGGATTGCACCATCTAAATGAAAAAGTTAACTACCAAATACCAATTTCCTAAAACAAACTAAATTGACTCACCTGAATCAGCCCAAAGCACAAAATTAGAAAAGCAACTTGAATTTTCATTTCGAAGTGTTAGTATTATTTGAATTTGATAATATTTATTTGAATGTTCCAAAGATCGTTATCAAAACATGTATGATTCTTTTCAACAAAAGTCTCCCTTTATATATCAATCGAAAATCACATTTCTGAATGATATTGACGTCTTCGGAATGATGAAATCGGAGATTTGTATAATTTCGAAAGAAAAATAAATATTTTCGATTACATTTAAGTCACAGATATTTAGTGCACATTCACATGCAATTGCTTATGGACAATCTTTTACGACACGATCATTTCTCGGAATAACTTGAGGAGTTGAGTTGTTTGACGCACGCAATTGCATCATTAAAACTGAAATTGCACATCGACAAAGTCTGCATCATTTTGCACATCATTATAAAGTTTTCAATAATAAAAACATCAAATATTTCATCATTTTAGCTTTGCATATCTAATTATATTTTATTTTTCTACGTACACCTTTAAAAATATGTATTCAGTTTGGTTTGATTTTCTCGTTCCGTCTAAGGAGGGAGACACGGACTCTATATTGATAGTTTTTCTAATTTTTTTTTTTTATTACGTCGCATATAACGACAGGACCTAATAAGTCCGAATTTTTCTTAGTTTGTGTCTACCCCTAGCGTTCCGTCCATATGATCATCATAGAATTTAAAAGTTCGTTGTTTTATTAATGGTAGCATTTAAAATTTGACAAACCAACGGTTGAACAATAAATTGTAAGTTCAAATATGAACATTTTTCCTTCAGAAAGCCCAAAGTCACGAAAATTCCGTCGGCAAACTTAAATCAATGTTAACATGGAATTAATTTCAGTTTTAAAGGAATTTGATTGAAATTTAATTACCTCATATGCCAATAGCGATAGAATAAGAAGAGTCCAAACGGCTGTACCCATTTTTGCAAGTACAAAATACAGCGTTCGTCGAGAAACTACTTTGGTAAATATCTGCGATTATACAAGCGTACTACGCTGCTTTTATATGATGCTGACTATTTTCAAATTCGATTATTTGTTTCTCAGTTCGACTTTTATCAAGATTTTAAATAAATAAAGATTAAAACCACATAACATTTTATTTGAAATGAGAATACATATTTTTTTCCTCTTTATTATTTGTTAATTGTTTTCCGCTGAACTCTTGTCTAAATAAAACTTATGATTCGTTTATCATTTCCATCAAACAAAACAATTATCGATCAACAATATAATATGCCTGCATTTTTCCATAATATTATTATGGAAGACAATACATCTATTCATTCAAATAACTTGTAATCAAACATTGTCTATTTTTCATCACTATTGTGATATGTATCGTTGGGGAGTGCATTATATCGTTCATACATGGGAGTTCATTCATTATTTAGATTCTGTTGATGGAGAGTCCGTTGTAGATTCTGTTGATGGAGAGTCCGTTGTAGATT